AGGTAAAGAAACCGGCCCGGCCCGCCAGGGTGCTTACCCTGGCGAGCCACGTGCCAAAGGTTGCCAATCCCTGCTTTAAGGGTTTGAACTCCATTACTGAGCAGCCCCAATATTTACACCAGCAAGCTAAGCATGGAACCACCTAAGCTAGTCTGAAGGAAATGCTAAGGAACTAGGTGTGACCTAAGCCCTGCCCCTCAAGGGGCAGCTGGGACTAAGGCATGGGGTTAAGCACCAGGCATTAAGACTTTGGTGGCTGTGCGCATACCCGCCAACACAAATTTAGGAGCCTATAGGGCCAAGTGGCAGCTGAGCAGGCATTGAGAATCTACATTTTGGACTTGAGCACCTAAAGTGGCAGTTAAGTGCCTAAACCCCTTTGTGGATCTAGCCTCTTGTTTATGTGAGCAAACAAAAGAGAATGTGATTAATTTTATATTTGATTAACTCAGCTGCATGGAATATATGCATGGTTCCCATAGATTAGATGTGATAGTGGTATTGACATTTAAATTACCATAATTGTGACTCAAGGCTAGAAATCTAGGCTTAGTTCTAGTCACCTAGCAGGACAAACCCATTGGGACCAATTTATAAACATATCCTTTAATTTTGCAGAACTAAAATGCTAGTATTTGCAAACTTAACTGACTCCTACAAATGAAGAAGGTAAACACTAGCATTTGCATCAAGAAAACTGAGGCCTAAATTGAAGCTCTTAAAAAAACAGATGAGTCAACCACAGGGATAAATGAAAGCTTAGAGGACAGTTTGCAGAAATATACTGACCTGGATGAGATGCTCAACTGCACTCCAGCCCTTTTACTTGGTGAAAAGAGGTTAGAGTGGCATAAAAGGGCCTTAAAAGCCCCTATTTGATAGATTCCCCCACTGCAGACATTGTAGCAGACAGTTGTATGGCTGCCCTCCAATGACCCCCCTCATAAGCCATGGTATAGGGCTAGGCAAGAGAGATATTGAGCAGCATGGGGGAGACTACTGTAACTTAGAGAGAATCCCAAAGGCTTTGTATGCCAGGAGCCTCTCCAGCCCCCTGGAAGCATAAAAGTAACTTAAAGCTATTTTAGTCCACCCACTTCTTTGGCTGAGAGTTGTATGCTGTGCTGCTTGGGAACACAACATAGAATCTCCCCCACCCTTAGTTAGCATTCCTGGATTGCCATTGTTCCACTTCAGCAAAAAGTTCTACTTTAACAATGCCAGAAACTGACTACAGTCAATATTTTTCTACTATTATTGCTGTCATAATGAAACACTTTAAAATATCGTGAGGCAGCTGAATCAGATGACTTAGATGTATTTTATCAAAGAACAGTAGTTGGATTCTTTAAAATCTTCAACAGGACAGCTAAAAAAAATCCCTTAAATATCCAAATGCTTCACAGTAATGGAAAAATTGGATTTTTACTATCAATTAATGACTAATCTTCCATGAATCAGACAAAATTCACTTCCATTACATTAAAATACGCATTATAGAGATATCAGCAGTAGTTAATAAAGTCACTCTTCCAATGGTGCAGCAAAGCTTTTATTGCATTTTTAATGAATCCAAACAAAATTTGTCATGAGATGCTCTCAACACCTTTTCCTTTTTAGAGGTCAGTATTATAATAGTTACTAATTACATTAATATTGCCTGAATTCCTAATGTTAATATCTCAGCTGGCCAGTTATATTATATTATCCAAATTAAGCTACTGAATAATCAAGGTTTCTTCTAAACTGATGGATGGTGCCTATCACCAAAGTTGGCACCATAATAGTTTCTTGTGTATCTTAAAGAGAACATGTCACACGTGTCCTCTTTATCAGCATTACTAATCTTTATACACATCATCATGAATGTCCTTAGAGAAACAGCACTATACACATACTATCCCTTGCTCCATGTTTCAGTTTTACCGACTCGTTAGGAAGCTTTGCTGAAGATGTGAACCTAATGCTGTTAAATATAAAGTAAGGGTAATGTCATCATGCAGATTTTACTCCCGTTAGAGACAAGGACAGTATAAATAACATGACTAAGTTAGTATCAAAAGAACAAGAATTTAATTTGGTCTGTAACATCTTCCTAGAAGGATGTCTGTTTCCAACACTATACAATGTGAAAAAGGGATGACTATATGGCTAATTATCTACATGTATAAAAATATAAACATCCTATCAAACATTTGTTGTAAAGATACCATCTATGACACATAGGACTAATAAGTATGGTACCTGTGCCTTCATTTCTAATTAAGAGACTGCCTTTAAAAAAAAAGTTAGTTCTCATTAATAGTATCAGACTTGTATTTATTCACAGAACGGGCAAAGGGTGAGCAACAGTAATTCCAGAAATGTATACAGTGCTCCATTAGCATGCCTCCACATTAACCTGGAGAGAGACTACCTCTCAAGGCAACCACATCCACTCACTCCTTACGCTCTCTGAGAGACAGCAAGAGTCAGTAACTTGTCCAGTGGAAGATTGCTCACTAGGAATTTGACTGCAATTACCAACTCATTTTTTACATAGACTACCAATAACTATGGTAGCTATCAAACAGCTAATTACTTTAGGTCACTACCAACCTGTGTCCAGATTAGAACCAGTGACCTTTAAGTGAAAAGCTCCATATCTCACTACTAGTCACTGGCTAGTCTTTAATATCACAAACACAAAGATTAGAAAAAATGATTAGTTTGTGTTTTTATTACACCCATTCTTTTTTTAAATAATCATATGTGCTTCTGGGTCATCTGCTAGCAATTAAACAGACACTGATCAAAATACAGGTATCTTCATTTTAAGGGGGCATCTAGCCAACAGGAAGTTTAGGTATAATTCACATTCAAGCAAATAAGTGTAGACAAACTTAGTTCTACAATTATGTTGATATTCATACTTAGTTTTTTCCATAGAAACAGGTATAAGAAATGGATCAAAACATTACCATATTGTATACAGAATAATATGCAAGTGTTCAGGCTAGATATGCTTTATGAAATTTTGTAGCACTAAAATGAATATAAAACTAAATGATTCGTGTAAAATGTTTATATAGTGTATATACACTAAATCTCAAATTCAATTTAACGGTCCTCCATTCATAACTCCTATGATGGATTTATTAAGCCATAGTACAAGGTTCTTTTAAAAAAAAAAACTAGCTGGAGCTAAATTTAAACACTTACTGAAAACCCATTTTATACAAAGTTTTAAAAAACATACTTCAGAGAAAGTTACTTAACAGAAACTAGAAAAAGACAGTCCTTGACTTAAGAATGACATTGTAAATACTTAGTAGCTGTGATCAATATCCTTTCACTTGTGGTATAGATAAAATATGCACAAATAAATCAGCTTAGAATAAGGCATAGGACAACCAGCTTTCATTCTATTTTCTGGTGCACTGGCCTCCCACTACTATCTTATTATTGCTCATCTAATTTGAAATGTATATTTCACTTTTAAAAATATATTACAATTATCTACAACTGGACAATACCTGTTCTCTCATGTATATTTTCAGCTTAATCACATGGATAAACTCTACTTTAATGTATTAAAAAACTAAGACTGCAAATTATTTTCAGTATTACTCTCATGCATGCCTTTTGTTAAAGACTAGGTGGCGAAAAGAGAGCACTGGAACTCAAATTGATGAACATTGCTTAAATAAAAAGGTTTCATATTATAGATTCATAGATCTGAAGCTATAGCTTTGTAAAAAGGAAAGAAGGTTTAAAAATGAAATCCCAATGTGAAACTCTTTGGTTAGATTGTAAATGCTAGTAATATCTCTAAATACAAGAGTCAGGACAATCAATTAAACCGCAGTTTTATCTTTGCAACCTCAAACTTTAATATGCACCATTAAAGTCCTTGAATGCTTAGGATGGTTAAAAAGGTGTAATTGTTTTGTTGAAGCTTGAATAGAGAACTCATGTTTTAAAATTCAAGAAGTGTAAAGTGCTTTTGTACTCAGATCCTTAGCTGCTTATTAAAAAGAGAGGCTAAACCTTCATTTATTACAAAAGCTTGTGCTTATATAGTATGTTGTTCTTCCACAGAAAGCTATGGCTGCTTCCTCTAGAAGAGAAGCAGTTCTAAACTTGTTAGCTTATATAGACTAAGTTCAGCACTACTGTAAGGAGGGGTAACTCCCATTGAAGGAATGATTGTTGCTCCTGTTTTTGTTGGGGCTGCGTTTAGTTCTGTACCTTTTTTGAGAAAGTACTTATTATGCCTAGGAAATGTTACTTAGCAGTGTGATTTCTCTGATAATACTGCTACAAAAAACTAAAAATCAATATTTATTTTGTTAAGAAAGCCATTTGAGGAAGCATTTCAGTCAGCTTCAACAATTATATAGTGCTAACATGACAACACTGAAAGTAGCAAGCAGGATTCACTTGTTTTTACTTGGATTTGTAAACTTATATCACTTCAACATCTAAAAATCTCACTTTCATAGGAAACAGGCACTCTACCTCCTCTCTGACCAGCCTGGTTTATGTCACACCAATCCACTTTAAAGGAGTTTAAGGAACGTGCAATGGATTTTTATGTAGTTCCTGTATATGGTAACTTTGTGACACTAAGGATTTTACACCACCTATGAAAGTTATGATTCACAAGCACTGTAAGTTTTCAAGAAATTGTTGCTTTATATCTAGTGAGGATAGACATTGTTCTTCCAAGTTGGTTTAACAGTTCAAGTGGTTGGTAATCCAGAGTACTTGGTTTGATACTTGTCCTTGACCATCAGCCACCTTCACCAGCCACACACACTTGATCCAGTTCAAGAGCTTCTAAGTTCAGGGCTTTGGGGAAGGATAGAGATGGAGTAGGAAGGGATAAGGAAGTAATTGGTCCTGGAGGATCAGTCATTCCCAGCCCCCAATCTCACACACCTCCTGGAGGAAAATCATGAGCAAGAGGGATAACCCATCATCACAGATAGCTGTCCCACTCACCATTTCATAGTTGGGTGGGCAGTTGTAAATCTGCAAGGTTGCTGAGCAGGGACAAGGAGGAGAAGTTAAAACATGGGGATGGGATGGGAGGAGAAGTTAAAACATGGAGAAGGTATTCCCCCCCCCCCCTTCTCAGTGGGGTATGGTGCCCAGTTCGTGGGAAGAGAGTCTCTGGGCGTAAGGGAGAGGGAGCTCCCCTCACCCCCTGGGTCTGAGGGGTGGAGAGGAGACAGACAGAGTTTGGAACATCTCCTGTGCGGGGGGTGGGGAAGGAGGGGCTGGCACACAGCTGGGGGCATGGGGGGAGTGTAGGGCAGAGGCTGATGGAGGGCGCTGTGTGTGAGGGGTTGGGGGCGCACAGGGCGGCCTGCCCCGGCGTGTCTGCCGGCTCAGTCCCTGCAGAACACGTACTCGGTGTAGCTGGTCCAGATCTTGTCGTCGGCGGGGCCGCCCTGCTCGGACGCGAAGGCGCAGGTGCCGGTGGAGGAGCAGGCGGCCATGCGGAAGCCGGCCTCGGAGAGGCGGTCGAAGGCCTGCTCCAGGAAGTTGAACTTGAGGTAGTAGCGGGCGGTGTAGCGCTCGGGGGGCCGGTCGGGGTCGCGGCTCTCGTTCAGCGTCTCGCCGAACACCTCCTTGGCCAGCGCGGTCTTGCCGCACACGGTGATACGCGCCACCCGCCGGAACTTGGCGTCGGCCTGCGCCTCCCGCCCGATGGTGTAGGAGCCGCGGTAGCCGATGGTGATGTAGCCCGAGCGCCGCCCCGCCCCGCCGTCCAGGGACTGCGACGGGGTGAGCAGCGGGCCGCCGGAGGGGCTGCGGCTGGAGGTGGGCGACGGGGCCGAGGCGGCGCCCCCAGCCTCGGGCGGCTCCGCCTCCAGGTAGCCGAGCAGGGACGGGGGCTCGTCGGCGCAGAGGGAGCCGTCGCGGTTCAGGGCGGCGGGGCGCGTCCCCCCGCCGGCCGCCCCCCGGCCCTGCGCCAGGCGGCGCGCCAGCTCGGGCAGCTGGAAGTACTCGGCCTCCCGCTGCAGGCGGCTGCGCTCGGGGAAGTGCTCGGGCAGCACCAGCTGCAGGTCCCGCAGGTAGTCCAGGATGTAGCGGAAGAGGAAGCCGTCGCGGTCGAGGAAGAAGCGGCCTTTGCTGTCCCGGGGCAGCTCGCCGGGCTGCTGCTGCGAGAACATGCGCCAGAGCAGCGAGTCCCGCACCGACACCACCGTGCCGCGCCGCGTCACATACACCTGCCCGCCCACGTTCAGCTCCACGATCTCCGGGAAGGCGGACGAGCCCGCGGCCCCCGAGCCCGGCCCCGCCGCTGGGGACACGCCGCCCCCGTTCGGCAACCCCCGGGCGCTGTCCGCCAGGGCCATCCCGGAGCGAGCCCGCTGCCGCCTCCTGCCCCTACTCCGGCGGGTGGCGGGGTGCAGCCGCCTCTCCTCCCGCCGGCCGTGGGAAGAGCCGCCGCCTCTCGGCCCCTTGCGCCGTCCTCTGCTCCGCGCTGGCAGAGCCGCTCACTGCGGGCGCGGGCAGCGTCTCCTCTGGCCCCTTCCCTCTCTGCGGGCGCGGGCTGAGCTGCCGCCGCGCCTCACGCCAAGTGCTGAAGGAGCCGCCGCCTCACCTCGCCTCGCTTATTTCCCCCGTGCTGCCCGCTGGGCGAGCCTCCTGGGTCAGGCTGAGAGGCGAGTCCCCTGCGCTAGCAGCGGGGCTGTGTTTATGTAGAGCTGCTGCACCTCGCAGGAGGCGTGGGAGGGTGGCTGGGAGGCAGAGCTGAGCGCAGAGACTCTCACTCAGACGGAGCGAAAGGGGGTGGATTTACACTGACGTACCCTCCCTTCCCCAATTACAAGGGAGACTACAGAGCCCCTGTGTCTCTTTCCTAATCCCCTGCAAAGCCGGGTCCCTTTTCCAAATGTGGCTCCGGCCTGAGATTCACTGGGAAAATGTTTGTACTTGGGATCACTTGCTCATCCATCTAAACATCATCAAAGTAGTTAGCCGCTTACCTTACACAGCTCAGGCAGGAATCAGGATTTAATGGCTGTACAGTACTTTGGATATGTATAGCACAATGTAATGCAAAGTTCCTAAATGTTATGAATAAACTTCAGGCATTTATTTTGGGTTGGTACTGCAAATAATGATTGCCACCGGTCAAAGCTGTTTCCATACATCCCTATACCCAATGCCTCTCATCTGCTCCTGATGAAGGACATCCCTCAGTCAAATTATCTCCTTTTCACACAATTGGTGTTGTCTCATTTTCATTGTTTTAATTTATTTACATCACAAATGCAGAATCGTAAAAATAATATTAAAAGTGTTAATGATGGTGAAGTAATTAATCCCACATCATTCAGGGAGCTTGCTGCACTAGTCTTTGTTAAGCTTTTGTCCAAACTTGTATCTCCCCCTGGGGCCCTGACACCATGAGAAGTATGTTCCTCAACCAGCCACCTTTTTTTGTTGTTAAAGAAAATGTATTTCCTACATGAACATGTAGTCTATATTTTCATGTATTTTTCTCTAGTCCAGTGCATTTCTGTGGAGTTAAGACTTGTCATTTTCATAATAAATGTCTATTGCTCTTTAAAATGGTGGCATCTGTAAAAACACTTACTGTTGTACCATCAGTGCTGAAGCAGGATATAGTCCACAAGTAGTTCACCACATAGTTCAACAAATAAATTCTTTGGTAGTTTCTGTATTTTGTCACATTGATCCCTAATGTCACGCACGCAAGTTCTAAGAAAGCCAATACTGAATTTCAGTACTGCAGCATGTTTGTTATATTCATGAATGGTGGTGACGTAGGTACAGATACCAAAGGTGCCAGTCTTATGACCGAGGGAACAGAATTTACAATCTTCTTCTCTAATACATAGGACTTTGCCACTTGAATGAATGAAGAATTTCCCTTGGCTGATAGCTATGATGGGATGGGGGTAATCCTCATGTCAGTCCTTGATTCAGTCAGTAGAGAATGAGACAATATCAAAATGATAAACATTTGAGTAGGTCTGATATATTCCATCCTGTAGAGGTAGAACACACAAACCAGTACTTTAATTACAAGACGACACATGTAGGGCTGTGTGAATGTATGTATTTAATCAGGTGATGTTATAGCTCTGATTTAGCATTGATTCATTTGATTAGGTTTTTGTACAATACATGCATATATATTTTAAATGCATTGGTTGAAGTTTGTTTTTGATTTTCTTTTGATTGTAAATTACCTCCATTGAATTTCATACATATTGGTTTATGTCATGGGCATTGCAAGCAACAGCAGAGATAGTCACTGCTTCCAGCTTCTCAGCTGTTTTCCTCTGGGAGTGAAAGTGCTCTTTCTGTCTTTCAGCAGAGAATAACTGAATAGGCATGAAAGTTTGAGGAGTGTTATAGCAGCAGCAATACACTCTGTAGGTATCTCAGATGTAAACTTGTTGTGGGCATTCATAGGTTTGGAGGTCCATGGGGGGGGGAGGGCATGGAGAAAGAAGAGACTTTAGAAAGGCTTAAGAGAAGAGAGTGTTTAGGGGGAGGTTAGCTCAAAAGGGAGGCATTTTACAAAGGAAAAGAAAAACAGTTAAGAAACAGGTGGGTATATATAGAAAGAATGATTAATGAAAAAACTGGCTGGCAAGGAAAATGCTGAAGCGACAGAGAATCAGAAAAGGTATTTTGGACTAAGAAAGGAATCAAGAATAGGCTTGGCAAAACCATCACTTGAAGTGAACATATAGCAAATCTAGTCTGAAGAAAACAGAGACAGGAAATGTTGAGGAAAGAAAAAGTTGAACAAAGAAAACTTTTTTTTTTTTAAGACAGTCCTATTACTTTTTATTTGGTAAAATGTTGGCTACCAAAGGGTCATTAAACCACCAATAAATTTTCATTGTTGTGGGTAACAATGCAAAATGTTAATCTCATTTGATTTTAAATTAAAGAATTTGCTGTTGGTTTTTGGTCTGATAGCATTGTCATGGCAAAAGCAGGAAAAGAACCTTGAATTGATCTGCTACCCATGTAACTGTAAAATGGTTTTGGCATTGTTTTTTATGAGGAAAAAAGATTAATTGTATTACAGTACTTATTGTATCTGTTTGCTGGTTAGAAAGGGGTTTTTCTTGAATTGTATTAGAACCATTTGACCCTGAATATATGTACACTAGATTTTCATATTATAGTTAACTGGCAACATTTTAGGGGATGGTTGATACTGACTCTCCTTCTCTTAAACTAGTATCTTCCTACAACTGCACCCTCAGTGTTTTGAGATCACTTTCTAGAGATTCCCACTAATTCATATTTTAAACTAATCTTCTCCAGTGTGGGCAATGTTTTGAGAGCCTTGTGATTGAGCTCTGCATCCAGAAAGTGAGAACACATAATGCTGGCAAGATCTATTATTTATAACAGAGCTTACAATAGAATATATAGATTTTCAAATATTTGAATCAGCATAAATGGGGTGCTCAGTTTACCTTTCAATAAACTGTGGCTTTCTCCGTGTTTCTCGTGGGCTTTAAAATATGTTAACAAAAGCATATTGCAACCTATTTATTAGGTTAATAGGGCTAGAGCATAACTAATTTTAGGCTTATTTCTCTAGCAGTTGCACAAATTAATGAGTTATATTGCTCCCTCACATGCTACCCCTTATAAATGTTCATTGTTTCCAAACCTAGCACCTGCTAGGAAGCAGCATTTGACTGGTTCACTGTATCATTATGTAGCACTGTTTTGAGTACATGGCACTGCACACTAAGGGATGGGAGTTGTGCCAGACAAATTTATCCAGATCCCTGCCACAGAAGGCTAACTATCTCTGGGTACAAGGTGGTAAAATACAGTAAAATGTAGTATAAACCAGGACATATGCAGAGTGTGGTATGGTATCTATAAAGTGAAGAAAGAGTCTTCTAAGGGGAAGCCTCTGCTAGTACAGACTGTATCACAAAATACTGGACCATGAAACAAGTTGTGTTTGAAGCCTGTCTCGGTGAAATAGCGATCGTTTTATGTGATAAATGTGCTTCACATCATGATATCTAGAGCTATAGACACAATTGTAAAGCAATGTCTGTTCAAAAATATTACACTCTCTGTGTATTTTCCAAGTGGGATTGCTTTCGGTTGTTCTAATATATCCTGAAAAGAAAGGGACAGTAGCTATTTCAACATTCTCTTCACTAGTTCAAGCTGGTGAATCTTGGGTAGGAATGGAGTATCATCATTTTCCATCTCTTCTCTCCCACTTTGAAATATTTCCATGAAATGGAATTGGATTCCACTTCAAATAAGCTATTTTAAAAATGGATAACAAATACATCACATTGATACAGCAGATAAATATTCAGTCGCTTGGTTGCACAACACTATCATAATCTCAGTATTTTACACTCATTTCATTTTACGTAGGAGACACAATTAGAGTATTAGTAGATATAACACTCAAAATGCTACATTTGGAACAAAATGTCTTATTAGGAAATATACATCATCATTTAAAAGAGCTAAATATGGAGTAATGGACAGCCTGGGTTCTGTAAAGATAAACAAGTCTGTGAACTTCTTTAGTTGTATAGTGACCCGTCATTTCCAAATGAGTAACAGTGACTTGAAAGAAGACCAGCAAGTATTTTTGTTTGTTATTGTTAGCGTCGTATCAGGACTGTCTGTGCTATTTTAATCTGTGTTCCAATAATTTTACTGGTTACATTATAGGAAAGATGTAACACTATGTCAAGTGATATTGATTTAATTGGGGTTTTTTAATTCTTGTATCAGAGCTTAGAAGGATGTTTCCAGCATGTTCCCCACCAATAATCATTAATAAAAATCAGAAGTCTAATTGTATTCAGATAGCACAGAGGAAACTGGGAATCAAGATTAGTTTTCACTCAGAACAGTCTTCTTCATAAAGCAGATTCACTTATGATAGAGAAAGGGTAGCACCTAGTGGTATGAGATTTAAGTTGCAGCCAAAATGGAAGTTGGCTCAAAGCTCCAAACCATTGACAACAGAACATCTATAGTAAAGAGAAAATTATAACCTTTTTTATCATAAGAATAGCTGTAAATTAGCTAGTGTAACTACATCCAGAGATTTCCCCATTAGAATTGACAAAAAAATAAACTTGACCCTCTGCTCCTATACCAATATGGAGGTTAGTGTCTAATGTTTCACAAATAAAGACGTGTTGCGTATGATTTTACTGTTTTCTATTACTTTAATTAGCAGATGGCACCTTTCAATATGCTTGAATTGCTTCTGAAGCAAAATATTTAACTTTTACTAACTACAGAAAATGCTACTAGATGAATAGGGCTATTTACTGAACTGAAGGCTTATCGAGTGTCACTATTTTAAGCTTGACAATGCATGGTTAAAGAATGAAGTGGTGGAGGTGACAATAAGGATTCCCTTATCTCCTGCAGTTCATCCAGTAAGTGAAAACATGCACAGTTTAATTGCTAAAGCTTGGGGATTGTTAGAGTTTTGTATTTTGATGGTTCTGACAATATCTGTGCTCTTGAAATAATTGAAGTTCTGTAGGTTTGACTTTTACAGTCAAAACCGCCCATTATCTTCAGTTGAATAGCACATTAACATCATCGGTAGTATTCACAGATGGCCATTAAGTAGGCTGTTCATAAAATCTCTGACATTGTACCCAAGTGTTGGGTATATGGTGGCAAAAAAATTGAAGTATAAGTTATCTGAACCAAAAAAAAAAAAAATAGATCACTTCTTGCAAACCCCCCCCCCCCGCCGCCCAAACTGCTTTATATGGCTCCACAGCTAACATGAGAGTGTTTATAGATTTCACAGGAGTAATAGTGGAAGTTATCTGCATATTCATCCCCTGTGCATCAATAAAGAATATTGAGAGCATTTGACTTTATCTGATGGCATGTTGTAAAAAGGCCAGACATTATGAAAAAATATTTTACATAAGTCATGCATTGAACAGACCCCAAATATTTTTATCACAATTGACAATCAGATAGAACCTTAATAGTGATCTGGAGCTCTAACCTCCGTAGGTAGAGCTCCCACTGCCAATGTGGAGAGGAGATGTCATCTCTGGAACATCAGCTCCTCTCAGAACCCGATGGAGGGGGGGAGAGGGAAATCAGTAATCCGCAGGGTAGCACTGAGAGCATCCAGCCCCTCTCTGAATCACTGTCCCATACAGACCCACCAGATTTTGTGTGTGAAACTCTAGTCAGCAGTTAACACAGTTCAGAGTTGTATTAACTCCCTCTGAGTACCCTCAGTGACCACCAGACAGAATGGTAACTCAGTTCCCAGGCCCCAGTGAGATTTGCAAACTAGGCATTCCCTCATCTATCTTGCCTTTTGGGCCCAATCTAGCAGATGAGTTGTGAGGAGGCCCCCTTATAACCTTTAGCCCAGTGCTTACACCACACTCACCCAGGATGTGGGGGAGATGTCTACACTTCAGTTGGGAGCAAGCCTGCCTCCGTCCCTGGGTAGACAGACTTGCGCTAGAGGGGCTCGAGTTAGCGTACTAAAATAGCAATCCACATGTTCCAGCTCTGAAGTTCAGGCTCTCAGGCCTAGGGTGTCAGGTGGGCTAGAGAGCCAGAGTCTCCACCTTGGTGTTTGTAGCACACATCTGTCTGCTGAGAGGCTCACTTCCAGCAGCAGTGTAGATATACTCTAACAAATTCAGGTTTAATTCAT